CTGCATGGCAGCTCCTTCAATCTTGCAGGTTCCTCCATGCACCCCGCCCACCCTAGCCACTGATTGGCAGAGGGACCCTGCTGCTCAGCACCTGCTTCTGATTGGCAGGGAGGCAAAATCACAGCGCTATTTTTGCCTCCTGGCGGGCCAGTATCAAGTGATGGGGCCACTGGGACCCCTTGCCCATTCAACAGCAGGAGGCAAAAATGGTGCCAATTTAAAACGGTGGTTTTTGCCTCCTGGCTGAACAGGAGTGAGTGTCGAGGCCTCTTTGCCAATCAGCAGTGGTGGGGGAGGGAGAGGAGGAGGAACACATGGGGAAACCTGCAAGATTAAAGGAGCTGCCATGCAACCCACTTCTGCTGTGAATTCGGTAGGTCCCTACTTATGAGTAAAATCTACACACAATAGGCCCACTTTCAAAGCATGCAAGAGGGCTAAAATTTTAACCTCCAAACTTACAGGGTCAGAAGCTTCTAGGTCAACAACCTTAGCTTTTGTATATGAATTTGCCACATGCTGAAAATGAAAGGCATTTTTCTTTTCTGGTGATGTTTAAAGTGGCACCTTTAAATGGTACCTTTTAAGCATCAGACACAAATATTAAAACAGAAAGATAGCTATAATTTATTATAACAGCAGGAGTGCAAGAGATTGTAATTTCACAAGTACAAAGGAAGTCTTGAAGGTGTGATGAGGTTCCAATAAGGGCTGTGGGAAAACAATGTGTTTTTCATTTATCATGATAAAGCTCCACTTTCTCCATTTTAGATTTAACTCTTGTTTAAAAGAGTAGTGGGTTATATTGATCTCACACTTGAGAGAATTCATGTGAGAACTGGAGAGGGAACTGAAGGCTGCAGAAGCAATGATTTTTTTTTTAGGAGCAATCAAAACAAAAACAACAAAAAAAGGAAAAAAAAATCTCCAATTAAAGAAGGAATGGGGAAAACCAAAATTGAGTTGTAGAATTGGTACCATATTTCTTACTGAGAGAATATTTTAAAGTAGATGCAGGGAAGGAACAAAATGCATGGACCTAACCATTTTTATTGGGAAGAGTTTTTAAACTAGGCTAAGTAGACAAAGGCTCCTAACTCAGCAATCTTATGTCTGGTATAAAAAATAATACTATGATCATATGTTTCATAAAGCTTTTTAAAAACCATGAACGACCATGAATAGTTTTACTCCAGATTAGACTAACACTCCTCTCTTTCTTTAGCATTAAATAACCATGTAATTTTGCAATTGAAAGTGCTGTGCTTTGTTAGGAACTCTTGAAGAAACCCTGAGCTATAGATTTCTTTTCAGTGGCCCATGGATATGATATGAAAGTATGATAATTATGATATAGCCTACCTTGTCTCAAATCTTACAAGGAAGATTTTTTTTGCCCCAACACAAACTTGTCCAAGCAGGTAACGTGTGTAACTGCAATAGAAGACTATGAAACAGGAAACATTTAGAATCACAGTTATTACTGGGATTTAAGACCTCGTATGGCTTTTAGTGAAACTTCAGGGTCAGTAAGGGTGCTAGTTTGGACAACAATCTCCATAGGTGACGCCCAAGCATGAGACAAAACAGATTACACACACACACACACACACACACACACACACACACACACACACACACACACTCTCTCTCTCTCTCTCTCTCTCTCTCTCTCTCTCTCTCTCTCTCTTTTATGCCAAGTGGTTTTGCAGTTTGTTGGCTTTACTAGTTTAACATCTTTAAATTATACTGATGCTTCCTAATTTTGATCCTTTTACCTAAAGACTTTAAACAAAAGGGGGAGATAAAATGGGGTGACACGCTTTTTAATTTTCCAAATGAAGCTCTACCTGCCTCCTGTTCACCACAGCATTCAGAGATCTGCAGATCTCCTTACATTACCTCAAACAAGTCTCCAGAAAAAATAGGGATTTGGTGGCTCACAGTTCAAATTTACCTTAATTTCTCTCTTTTTTTTTTTTTTTTTTTTACATAACCCTAGGCAAAGACCATTTAACTTCTACTGTCCTGTATATTTGCATGTTGAAGGCTCAAAGACCTCTTGGATGCATTTTATTTCACATGAAATAACACAGCAGCTTTGTTCATTTTCTAGTATTGAAAATATGCTCAAGCCAATCTGCGTCCCGTCTTGCACTGCTGTGGTATCTTCTCCCATGCTATAGTTGTGTGTCATTACTTTACAAATAAATAAGGTAGGTTGCTGCTCTGAGCACATAAAACCCGCTTTTTGTGCCCCTCATTGTATACTTTCTTCTGAATTCAGAACTCAGAACCTGAAATTGAAAATTGAGAACATCTTTATTGATAAATCTGCCACACAATGTAGACCTAGTTAGCCAAAAATATCTACTATGTGGGAAAATTCTACGTGGGAAGATTTTAGGCATTTCTGAAATTAAATATAACATTTCTTATAACAGATAAGCTTCTTACCAATGGTCACATAAATGGTCTTGCTCTATTAGCTGTACTGTTTTACACAAGTTACATGAAGCCTAGTCATTTTCTCCCGAGTCTTGTGAACATACAGGCACACATTGGAGTGATAAGCACTCGTCATACCAGTGAATTCACTGGGTGTACTCAGAGCCTTAAAGTTAAATGCAGTTTGCAGGACTGGGATACATGATTACAAAAACTACTATACGGTAGTGTGAAATAGACAATAAAAATGTCATGAAAACTGCAACAATTCAGTGAGATTGCCTAGAAATCAAATTCCTTTGCATCCTATTAAAGGTTAACAAACAAACAAGGTATTTTAAGCAGAAAGTATATATTTATACCACATGAAACAACTCCAAAAGTATTACATAAAGAAAAATAATGTAACAGAATTTACTTAGGTACCTAACGTACAGGCATGCTCGTATCTAAAAAGTAACATTGGTAACTAATATATATATTTCTGACAAGGGTGCATTTAAGAATTCTCTAATATAGATCATTTTAAATGTGGAGAGTATTTCTTCAAGATACAGAAAAACAAATCATTATTTTACACAGGCACACCTGCTATTTGTATAAAAACATGCTTGCAAGTGAAAAGTCGCCTTAGTACTAATTCACCAGATATGCAAAAGCCAAGTAGTGTTAATTGTATTGAAAAGGTCTCTTCTCCTTTTTGCACTGGTGAGCACCAACACTGAATGGTAGAATTTTTGATCTAGTATGATTTACTTGACACTGTAACCTATTCCAAAGCAGCTGTCCTGCCAAGGTACTGTACAGCACAATAGGGATAATATGCCTCATCTGTATTCTGCACACAGTACAGTTAATTCTAGAAGCTATAAAATTAGGACAATGATTTTGTTTTGTTTAAATATATACATCAATCAGTATAAAATACTAGCAAACACTTTGCATTTCAAACAAATTTTAACCACGTCATCAAACAATGCTTTTACAGAATAAAAAAAATCCAAATCAATTTCAACTGCTAACGGTATAGCATCTCTAGGTTATATTTCCTAACAATGGAAGAGAACGGAAGTGTCTTAAAGTCTATTAAAGAATCACAAAATAGGATTACTGTTAGAGCAATTCAAGAATTCCCAGTCAGTACCTATCCTACGCAGTGCCACCCAAATACAGTATAAGCCATTTTAGTGTTTCTACTATCAAAAGAAAACAAAGGTCTGACAAACACACAAAAACAAGGAAAGAAACCTAGTCATCCCTGTGATATCAAGGTACAGTATGTCAGGAGTTTGCACTTAATGCATAATATGTACCATTGTGCTATTATACTTGGATACAACTGGTTAAGTCAGATTGAAATGGGGAATAAAGCTCTGAACTTTCCTTGCTTTTGTGGGTATATATCAGACCATTCAAGTTACTCTTCAAACCTTAGTGTCAGTTTTTTTAACATTTTTTTTTCAAAGTGGAGGGAAGAAGGATGGAAGAATTCTTAATGCAAGTATAAGATACTCCTATAATCCTAAAATGGATATAAATACTGTTTTAAGGGCTAATGTGTCATTGCACAATCTATGTGGCCTGTTAATCTGTGGGTTACTGGTGTAGCAGAATGTATTGCTGTTGCGGACATATTAGTGGGAAATTCATTTAAAATAATATTCCACAACACACCACTTCTGACTTAGCACATTCTGATTATTAAAAACGTTATGAAAAATAGTAAACATGCACAAATAGTGGCAAATTTTAAATTTCAATTGCTGCTGCTTTTGTTTTTTAAAATAAAATTTAGAACTCCAAAAGCAGAGAGCCTTTTTGTGTTAACATTTGTAAATGATAAAATAGAGCCATTTCAAATTCTCGTCACGTAGAAAACCTGAAGGATAAAACACTTAATTCTTGGATTTCTTAGTTTACTCCTATAACTTAAAAATAACTGAGTGCCTTAAAAACGATTGAAAAAAATTCTTCCAAGCAAAGAATTGTTTTTTCCATATATCTACAGTATTGCTATGGCCATGATATAAATCCTTGATAATAAGGACTGACAATGGGACTGACAGACCTTTAATTAAAGAGGTGCTATCTGATACCACTATTTTTTAACCCAAGAACTACTTCATAGCTTATACTGAAAGTTTGATTCATGCTCACTTTGTTCATTTAAAAATACTCTTTGGAAACAGTGTCAACTCCTGCAGATAACTCAGTGTTACCTTTATTTTAACAGAGTAAGTTGTATGTCAGTCATTCATCTCTACCCCATGCTAAGATCTACTACTAATATACACTTCATTACCTGCTCATGTCACCATCTAACACATATCTTTACAGTCTTCTAATATAGTGTCCAGGGCTTATTTTTCACTAACAGTCTTACCAAAGCTTTAAGTTTTTTAGTTTAGTGTTTTCATTGTAATGTAAAGTGAGATGATAGTTTAGACTATTTTTCCATGCTACTTAAAAGGAGAACTTTTCACTAAGGTTTCTCCTGAAGATTTTACTTTCTTAAACTCAGACATCAAAACTAAAAAATAAAACCAAAGAGATTAGATAAAACAGTCAATTAAACATGTAGTGTACAGGCTTGCTACTTTAAAATGCATGATAAAAGTTTCGATACAGCACACAGAGCTACATTTTACAGTGGCACAACCAGATTCTAATTTCAAATTCTTGCAAGTAGGCATGAAAAATAAGCCACTGGTCATTTATTCTAATGATTACATTCAAAGCTAGCCTTTAAGAATAAAAGTTACAAGCAAAATAGTTTCATGGGCTCACTATCAGGCTACAATAGACATGTTTTAGGGTATAAAAAAGCAGACAATTCAGATTTAAATAAGACTGTGAAATCAGGAAATTTAGATTTCACTATTTAAAAAAGCACCTACAATTACTTCCCAAACTATGGCTAAAATTAAACCAACTAACAAAAAAATCCTAGTTTTTGACAGACAAAAAGTTTGATTAAAGTATGTGGCAACAATAAAAATTCGTATGTTACTATACGACTCATTTACTATACCATAAAATATGAACAAGAGCACTTTGTGACTAATGGAAAAGCTAGTAGTAGCAACCACTTATTGTCAAATCATCTTCAGCCCTTCTTTAAGCTTTATCTCCAAATCAGTATTGACTTCTTTTGACCAGATACATCATTTTTGGCTTGTCACACCAGTAAGTCATGTTTTACCACTTGCCATAGGCAACAGAGGAGATAACTAGCTGAGCAAACTACAAGCGGTGACATGCAGAAGTTAACTCACAAATCTGAGTACTGAGATAAAATGATATGCAAGCGCATATGAGGACAAAAGGAATGGCATTCGTCATCCAAATAGGCTCATCACCCTCCACCCCATTAAACAGTAGTTGCAACAGCAATAGAAAAAGACCAAAAAGATGTCTATTCTTCAGAGTCAACTGTGAAAGAGGTCAGCAATATATAACAGCAGCAATGGATAAGGAAGAGCAAAATATTGGATGAAAGAAATCTTGTTGAATATTTGTTCATTTACTTTTTCTGACCACAAACCAAATGTTTGCCACACTGGTTTGTTATTAACTTCAGGTACAGATGTCCTATTTCTCCTTAGATCCTTCACAGATTTGGATGCAGTCTTCCTGAGGCCTCTATAACCAAGTAAGAAAACTCTCTTTATCTAGCTTGGTGGCTGCCAGCACAGATTCCATGTCATTAAGGATGTCAGAACTCAAAGCCTCCTGCAGACTTGGCATCAGTTCCTCTCCTTCTATATTCATCCCATCTCCTTCCAGGGTCCCAAGGTCCACATTTGTCCCTGGAATGGCTTCAAGGTAGTCTGGGAAACGGTTTTGATGGGAGGGTATGTTACTTTGGCTGATACTATCACCTAGTATAGTACAAAGCAAGACAGACATTAAACACAAAGAATTGTAGATGTGAAACTTACAATGAGGACAACAGATAAAAGATTTGGTCTTGGTCATGTTACTCATGTAAGTGATCCCATTAATGGCAATCTGGCCAGTCACACATGGCAAGCAGAACTTGACCCTAAATGTAAATAAAACATGCCTTTTCTTCTACTGTCCTATTCACTGAGCATTACCCCATCAATTGTTTACAGTAGAGTGTGTGTGTGTGTGTGTGCGCGCGCGCTCGCACATGCACATTATAGTATACTTGAGAAAATAAATAGATGCTGTGCAGAACAACCACATCTTGTTCTAAGTGAAGTGATATTCTAAGCAAGACTTAACTAAGTTTTTGTTCTTAGTTTAGTATAAACAACTCTGCTAAAAAACCTTAATGCAGATTTAAAACCCATTTAAGCACAAGAGATATATTGCTTATGAGTGTTTTCTATTCAGACAGAACTTTCTTTTTTTTTTTCTTTTTTTTTTTTTTACAAATATTTTCAATAAACAAAGGAAAACAAATATATATAGGAAAATGCATTAAAGGTGTAAATAAAAACAAACCTGTATCCATTTCATCAACGCTGTTCAGGAAGTCATCAGGGGTTCTGGGTACACTATAACTGCTCATGCTAAGCCCACTGTCTGTACTTTCATCTCTGGAGTGATATGTTCCACTATAATAGAAGAAAATAGTTAAGTGAAAATTGAGGTCTGAGCATTTCAAAATTACACCTAATAAAAACATGCACCTTTTCAGATAAGCTCAGTGGATTTGGTGATATAACATAATGTGTTGCCAAACAGACTACTGTATCTGGTAGGTGTTAGCTGTTATTTGTCTACAAAGCTGGTAGAGTAAGACAAAGCTGTCACAAAGGCACAAGAAAAAAACTAAGTCTGAAATGAAATAAATCATTCCTTTATATAACTCCTTAACATATACATCATTTTCTCGCATACAGCACACTCCCAAATAAGACACAAACCTTGTTTTGGGAAGGCAAAATGAAAGGGAAAAAACAATTTTCCGGAGCCACTGCTGAATTCTGACTGCATGGCTGAACCTTGATCAGTGCTGCTCAGACAAAAGCTACAGCTTTAACTCTCTCACAGCAGTTGCCAGTCTGGCAGCAGCTTTTGGCTGCAATATAAGAGCCTACATAGTAGCTAGGACCCTTATATCTCATCGAATAGGACAGACAGGACTGAGGAACAATTATAGGAACCCATAGAGAATATTCATGTGCCTGTCAAGTTAAAAGCCTTCCACCATGCCCACCCCCAAAAAAAACAGGCCCCGAGGCATCTGGGGGTCATTTTCATGGGGTAGGGGATAGTGTCAGGACCCCTGGCACTCAAACCCAGATCTTCTGGGATTGTGGGCAGAGGCCTGGGCTACAGCACCATGAAGTAGCTGGCTGGGTGCTGGGCCCAGCCTGGGCCCTCCCACGGGGTCCCAAATAGAGGATCATATATGATCCAGGGGGACCAAATGGAAGCCCACAAGACCCTGATGGGAGGGCAATAAAATCCTTCCACTTACTGCATGGCCCTGTCCCTGCAACAACGCTTCCAGTACCTCTGTGGTGGACCTCTGTCCAACTCCATTACAGGCAGTCCTCAGACTTACAATACAACTGGTTCTTGAAAACAGCGTCTCAAGTCGAACCGTTGCAACTCAGAACCGATTTTCCCAAAGAAAACAATATTATAAATGGGGGATTGGTTCCTGAACCAAGGCCCGATACCCCTATTTTCACCAAAAAATAACCTAGAATTTTGTACTCAATCAATTATAGATGAGTAATATAGCTCCATTAATGTATTTATATTGTAAACAGCAATCATACTGATTTAGAAGGACTTCTTTGAGGTGACTTTCCTGGACTTTTTGAAGGGCTCCTGGCTGGACTTTTTCATAGATTTCCTAGACATTAGGAGCTGGAAGGGATCTTGTAAGATCGAGTCCAGCCCCCCTGCCATAGGCAGAAAGTCAGCTGGGATCAAGTGACCCCAGCAAAAAGAGTCCAGAGAAGGTCCTTGCACCACCTCTGGGGGGAGTCGGTTCCAGACCCTTGACACTCGCACCATAAAGAACCTTTTTCTTTGTCTAGTCTAAATCAGTCTTTAAGGAGTTTATGGCCGTTAGACCTTGTTATGCTTTGGGGAGCTCTGGTGAACAGCTGTCCTCCCAGGTCCTGATGTACTTCTCCTATATAGCTGTAGGCCTTCTCTTTTCCATAATGAAGAGTCCCAGGTCCCTCAGCCTCTCCTCATATGGCCTGCCTTCCATGCCTTGGATCATACAAGTGGCTCTCCTCTGGATTCTCTCAAGCTTTTCCACATCCCTCCTGAAGCGGGGGGCCCAATACTGGATGCAGTACTCCAGCTGTGGTCTCACCAGGGCTGAGTAAAGTGGGAGGATGACATCCCTGGTTTTGCTTGAGATGCATCGGTGGATGTGCGCCAGAGTTTGGTTTGCTTTGCCAGCCACAGCATCGCATTGGTGGCTCAGATTCATCTTGTGGTCAATCAAGACTGCCCCCCCTCCCCCCCAAGTTTCTTTAGGTCGTGGTGCTTTTTGAAGGGTTCTTGGCTAGAGTCTTTTCAGGAGTCTTGGCTGCAGGTTTTTCTGGAGCCTTGTTTGCTTTCTTAAAGAAAGTGTCCAAGTAAGTTTGGACAGATGTTCTCTAGGGAGATAGGCAATGCAGCGAACTTGTTCAGTGGCATGGCGTTGCATCGGATCAAGCATTGTAAAGTTGAAATTGATGTCAGAAAGCTGCAACAGGGCATCAATTTATAAATGTTGTAAGTGCAAAATGCTGTAACTTGAAACCATGTTAGTCGAGGACTGCCTGTTCTCCTGGTACTGTCTTGGACCCTCCAGCCCTGCTCCAGCACTGCCTATGGCCTTGCAACCTGTACCTTGCCCCTCCCTACATCATCCTCTTTATTGGACTCAGCTCCTGACTTTTGGCCTGGTCTTGACCACAGATCTGCCTGATCCTTGCATGAGCCATCAGATTTGGACTGACATCTGGTACTGTGACCCTCACCTTGGCTTCTAGACCTATGGGATTGCAGACCCTCAGTTTCTGAGCCTTGAACTCTCACATCCAAGTCATACCTGTGATACAGGCCCTGAGTCACCTATTTAGCCCCAAGCAGACCCCTGTTGTCATCTTAGCCACAAAATTAAGCTTAGTCTCATCACTCCCAGTCTTGGATGGTTACACTTCTTTGCAAGCATCTCAAGAACTGACTGACATTAGTGCTAACTGTTGGATCCATACAGCAAGAATGAGGGGGACAATGACTCAAAAAAGAAAAAAACCCCAACCATATCCAATCACCATTGACAGTAAGCCTGCAGAACTCCTTGCCACAAAGCAAGAGCAAGCCACACCCTTGGCAAATCTGTCTGTCTGTCTCTTTGCTGGTCCCAGCAAACTTCATGGGTATGACCTGGACATGGGGGAGGAGAGTGGAGCTGGGCTCAGAAACCAGGGGTATAAAATACTGTATGTCCAGAAGCCACGCTAGAGGTCATAATACCAGGGTCAGTCAGAATCTGATGGTTCATGCCAGATCGAGACAGCTCAACTACGTTCAAGGTCAAGCCAGAGATAAGGAGCCAAGGAATCCAGCATGCAGGATGAGGGAGGCAGGAGGGAGGTACAGGGGTCCAAGGCTAAAGGCAGGGAGAGTCTAAGGCAGAGGGCAGACAAGAATAAAGCAGGATGGTCCAAAGTAGAAGCAAGGCTGGAGCAAGGCACACAGGAGGCAGGAGGGTCTGAGGCAAGAGAGGGAGTACTGGAGCCAGGGAGTGCTGGAAGTGTTGTTGCAGGGACAAAGCCCTTTGGGAAGTTGAAGGGTTTTGTAGCCCTGCAACCAGGACCTTGTAGTTACCACGGCTTCTCCTGGGTCACATGATCCCCCACCAAAGGCCCCAGGCTGGGCTAGGTCAGCACCCAGCCAGCTACTTGGTGGTGTTGCAGATCAGGCCTCAACCCATGAGCCTGGAAGGCCTGTGTTCAAGCCCCGGGGGTCCAGACAAAGTCAGCTTCCCTGCTTAAATGACAGACCCCAATTTTGGGGGACAGATTTGGCGAGGGGGAGGCAGGATAGGTATGTGCACTACACGAGTAAATAGGATACTACTTTTGCCTTTTCAACAGGCACTTTTTTAATGAGATATTCACCGTATTAGTTGGTCATACCACCCGGTTTTTAGATCACATTATCTGAGGAGACTTCATGTGCTCAGGCAGAATACTGTGCACAGTTTGCAAAGCAAGTATTTTGTGTTTAAAGAATATTAGAACCACCAGTACAAAGCTAAGTAGCCAAAAAAATAAAACCGGTGGAATTTTGGGCACAGAATAATTGAAAGTAAAAGGTTAAAACCCCTATTAATGTTAAACATATTAGAAACTAAGGATGTAACTAACATTTAAAAATACCTGTTTAACTTCCTCTAATTCTAATTGGCTAAAGGATTAACCAGTAACTTAGTAGCTTGGACACAGCTGCTGCTGGGAGCTGCTCCCAGCTTCTGGGGCCCTTTGACTAGGGGGAGGGGAGGAAGCTACAAGCCCAGCCAAACAACACAGCCCAGATGAAGGCCTGGGCTGGGAGGGAGGAAGCACCTGTGAACCAGCAGCTAATTGCTTACTGATGAGTCATTAGGCTGGTGTTTGTCTCTTAGGCTATGGGCACCAGTGCCCCTCCCTGCTCCCTGCATTGCTGCCTTCTGATTCCTGCTGGGGAACTGCATGACTTCTCTTGCCCCTTCCCTGCCAGACTGCACCCATGCCGAGGTAAAGGATAACAGGTAAGCTAACCAGTCATCACTGCACTTACCAGTTACACAGCTGATTGTTTAACCCAGAGGTTCCCAAGCCCTGGCCTGCGAAGGGTTGGCTGCTGGACCAGAAGTCCAGAAGTGACCAGCATACTGCGCATTGGTAGTCAACCCTTTTTTATACGGAGTATTATACCCTTTTTTATACCTGTCACTTCCGGACTGCAGTTTGCTGGTCCGTGGTCTAAAAAGGTGGGGAACCACTAGTTTAACCTTCTGCAACCCTATTAGAAACCCAACATTTTAATGACTATCTTGAAAACTGTAATCAGTTGAATGCTGACAACTCTTCATGTTACACACACATACACCCCAGAACCATCCTTCAGGTATGTTCAGAACTATCTAGGTCAGTTATTATCAACAGTTATGCCTCAAAATCCTTTTAAGGATGCTGCAGGGCACCATACAACATTAGCACTGTTAGGTGTGCAAAGACCTATACACAAACCTATGATTTACAACACAAACCCAGAGACTTCAAATAGAAATCTACAATGTCAAAAACATTCTTCCCTGCTCTGGTCTTTCTGAGTTCTTTGTAACAGAAAAATTACTGTATTTTTTTTTTGTCGTTAAAAATGAATGGATATTAAGAGCTGGCATTTGCCGAGAGGTGCCTTGAGTCCAAGAAGGTTGAGAACCACTGACCTAGTTAGATAACAAGTCCTTTGCTGTAGTGCACACGGTTTGTTGGACCAGCACCGGAGAACAGCACATCCTACATGCTGAAAATCCTCCCTTGTCAGCATGTTCGTATAAAATAATGCTGATGTATGCTTTTATTGAAAGCAAAACTGGAAGGAACAA